CCGCTCCTCGCGCGGCCGCCGTCGGCTCCCATCTGATTTCTGGAAGTTCCCCAGAGCTCTTGGCAGGACCTTTGGAACGCTCTTGCTCTGAGGTAGAGGTTGACACGCTCTGCCGTGAGCTTCCAGAAATCTGTCTTGACCACGTAAGAAAGGAAGCACCTCCAGAGAGGAGGGCTGGCTTCACCTGCACAACAGTTTCAACTGCCTCAGGACAGCAAAGCGTCATGTGAAATAGTCCTGTGTCTACAGGTGGTATCTTAAGGCCGTGGCAGTGACAAAAGCGTCTTTGCCAGGGGCTCAGGGGCTGCGTTTCTGCTGTTCCTCTGTTTTGTTGCAAGAAAACTGACCCTTACACGCTTTGTGTGTCCAGGTCAAGACAGTCACTGTCCTATCTTCTGAGAGACAGGTTGGTGGGCTAGAGGTAAAGCTGCTGCTCTGACCGTGCTTCTGGACCAGGGTCTTGCTATTGCGATGGCACCAAGCAAAAACTCAACAGCAGCTGCTGGATGACATTTTTCTTTTGGCTACATTAAGTAGTTTCATAGCGCGCAGCCTCCAGCCCTAACACCTACCTTTGGACTTTGGGCACTGCTGCAGCTTTTGCAGCTTGCAGTTTGCTTATTTTCGGTGCATGGCCGGTTCGAAAAAGCTGCATGCAAGATGTAACTGTGTATTCGGAGAGAAAAGCCATTATGAAAGTTTAACTGTACCCTGTTCTTTTTATGTTGTCTTTCTTTCCATTTTTGTTTTGATGATCATGTTACTCTTGCATCTTGTATTTTCTTTTGCTGCCCAGTCTCCCAGCTACTTTCTCCCTGATACTCATCACTTGGGGGTGTGCAAAGAACCAGTCCCAAAATACTGCACTGATCAGAGGAGGTTAGCTCAGCTGAGAGAGCTCAGAGCCAAGTTCTTCCTTTCGTAGGTCAGGGTGACTTTGCCCTCGCCTGGCAAAACGGAGGCCTGGGGATGTCCTGCCTGGGTTGCAATATTGCCCACAATCTTCCTCTTCCTTCAACGAAAGTGCGGAAGCCCCTGCATGATCCTGTGTGATGTTTTAACTTGTTCTGGTTTGTACCTTCTTCAGACTCCAGAAACAAGTGTGCTGTCGTACGAGGCCAACTTCAGGAGGTTTCTAACACTGATGCTGACATCAGGCCTCTTCCACACTCTGGATTTCTAAGATGTCACAGGTTTTTTTTGCTCGTTAAAGTGGAGTTTTGAAAACAACTGAAATTTTGATACTGTCATCACCAGGACTTTACAAACCAGTTTTGTATCTGCACTGCAGCCTAGATGTCAAAAGTTATTTAAAAAGCCCTGTTTTTTAAGGGCAGGAGGGAATGGGAAGTTGTCATAGACCACGTTTTATACTATGCTGTTTCTGTTTGTAATACAGCAAAATTAACTTTTTTCTCAACCATTCCAACTGCAAAACACCGTGTTGGTTCTAAACACTCAGTTTTCTTGGAAGGCAGTTGCAAAACACACGTGACCATGATGTAGAAATTCCTGAGCTCTCTAGAGAGGAGAGAACCATATTTTGTAGCTCGGTTGGCAATTCCATTTCGCCTGCTAGAGCTTTGGTTCTTGAGAGCAGCTTGTTACTAAATTGAGAGCAAAACTGTCCTATCCCTTTGCACACCTCCAAGTATCATTTTGGGCACTTTCCATCTGTCATTTTTGTTCATCTCTCTCTGTCTTTCTTGATCTTCTACCACGAAAGCAGACACAGGAACGTCCTCTGTTAGTACAGGATGAAGACAAACTAAAAAAGCAGGAGATACCTACTGAGAGAGCCCTTGCCCGGCCAGCAGACGAAGAAACTCTGCCAAAGGTTTCTATTCCAATTCCCGAAGAGCAGAAATCGCTCAAAAAGTGTCAGCTGTACTCTAGTGTTTTCCCATCTCCGCGCATTCCCTTTATGATGTCCTTCCTTGTGATCGTAGCACTGACTGTTTGGTGGCTGCTCTTTCTCTGAATGGGAACGGGGTCCTATGGAAACCTCAAGACCAAATCTCCGAAATCTTGGCCGTAGCCTCTGCTGCATCCTCCTCGTGCTGGGCTCTGCTCTGTTTTCCCGGGGACTAGAGCGTGGATCCCGCTGTTTTCCGTTGCGTGGCTGCCGTTGGGGCCTGGCAGGAGTGGTAATGGATTGCCAGACCCCTTTGGAAGTTTCCTTAGTGCTCTGTAAGCCAAAATGAGTTGCATAAACCACGAGGGCTGCTGGGGCTGTGCGGGGGGGAGATGTTCAGTCCTGTAGCTCCTGTCAGCTTCGCGCAGCGATCGCTGAGGACTTGCTAAGCTCGGGCTTTTAAAGGTCAGCTATCCACAACAGAACACCTGGGAGTGATCCGAAAGCCCGCTGAGGCTTTACAGCAATGCAAACCTAATCCATAACCACTCCTTCCTTGGGAAACCAGACTGGCATTTAAAGAAAACGTCTTCGTCATCGATACTGCTGTTAGTACTAATGTATAGATAGGGACAGGCAGCTTCCTTTCCCCAGGCCTTTTGCAAAGCAGCAGCTTCCCTTGCACCCCGCAGTTCTTGTTTAGATGAGAAAACGTGTCCTGTTGCAGGAGAGAATACGCTGCATGCAGATATTTATCGTAACGTCCCCGGTGCCGCTCGCGTCCCGGTGCGCTCCTGCGGCGCTCCCGCAGCCTGCGCGGTGCTACCGGCGCCTCGAGACGGTTTGCGAGCCGGATGGGATTTGGGGCTTTGTGTCTAAGGGGTTTCTTTTCTGTATATAAAATTTGGGGCCGAGGCTACGTGAAGCGCTTCTCTTTGGCTAGTAATCCGCATGCTGGTGCTTTCTCCGGAGGATTGGGATGGAAGCAGTTCCCTCGGAGAACAGCCGCTGGTGCCAGCGTAATCGACAGCTGCTCCCCCAGTGTAGAAGAGAAAGGAGCTTGATTCCCCCTCGATTCCAGGGACTCAAGCGTGTGAATATATAGAAATGTATGTGTTCATATTCGCTTATAGTTATGTATCCATGTGAGCGGTGTTACTTTAGGAAGATAGAAAAATAGGAATACTGGATAAGATGTGAGACCAAACGGCTGCGTGCGGAGCTTGGCGTGTGCCATCCCACAGGGAGGACGTGGGAAGTCGGGATGCGCTGGGCTGCGTCTCTTGCTCTCGGTGCCAGGATGAGGCTCTTGAGGTGCTGTCTCAGAAATGTAGGTTGTTAGCGAAACACCTTGCTCGAATCCCACGGGAACCTTTTGGATCTGCCCACTCGCTCCGCTTAGTTCACCGGTTTGTGCCTTTGGGACTTTGGTTTGGTGCGAGTGCTGATTTCCATGGACAGATATTCTTCCCTTGGGAACACACTGCCTTTAACACACAGTCTTCCTCCTGCAGCTGTGGAGACCACGAAGGCTGCTGGGTCACGGGGTGTCAGCAGCGTCCGGCTGCCTTGACGTCCCCAGGAGGGACATTGGCGGTGCCAGCCGGGAGCACGAGACCCGCTGGGAGCACAAACCCACGAGCAGCTCCCGAGGGCTCAGCCCGAGAGTTCGGAAGGCTTCGTCTCGAGTGAGCGGGATGCGGAGAGCCGGAGAGGCCGCGGGGACGCTGGGGCTGCCGCTGGCAGCTGTAGAGCAGGTGTGACACAGACAGGGCCATCGCTCCGTCTGTCCATCCGCTTCTATCCGTGTTCCTGGAGGGCTGCTCTCCTCGAGCTTGCGGCTCCTTCCTCCAACAGCTCCGCTCGGCTGCGTGCGGCTCCCGGCCGCTCCGTGCGGGCTGTGATGGGGGGACCTCCCCGACCCCGACGGCTGGCAGAGGTTTTGCTCCCACAAGAGTGACCCTTGCAAAGCCACCGTTCCTGTCTCCCACACCTAGACGACCCGAAACCTGAGCTCTGCACCCAGAGCATGTCTGGAACATCGTGCTCAGGAGATCTCATTACAGGGAGGAAGGATGCACCCTGCAATTCAACTCTTCGGCTTCTGAATTAGAATGGTCTCTCTCTCTCTTTCTTTTTTTTCATAATTTATTTAAATCTTGAAATAAGGCTGGTTATCGTCAGCCAACAAACTCCTGAATTCACCTGCTGAGAATGCTCAGGACCGTCTTGGGGATTTGCATCCCCATTGCACTGAAGGGTGTAAGGAAAGGGAACAAACACTTCTGCGTTTCCTCGGGGAGTTTGTCTGTGTCCGTGCGGGTGGATGGGATCCGTCGTGATCCGCACGCAGAAGAGCTCTAGCTCGTCGGGAAGGGAGGGATCTCCGGAGGTGCCTTCTGAGCCCACGTCCCTCTGCCACGCTCCAGCCGCTGTGCCCCGCTCTCCTGCCTCTTTTCTTGCCCCGTGGCAGTGGGGACAGGGGCTGGTTTTGGGGCTGTTTGTTCCTCGGTCGTGGCCTTGCCGAGCTGGCTGCTTCCCGGTTTCGTGGCTGTCCCTGGATGCCGACTCGAGATGCAGAAGGGAAGGCAGGTTGCCAGGGTGGCCGGCGTCACGCGCAGGGTTGGGGTTAGTCCGCTGTACCCTGGCTTAAGGACAGAGGTCTCAGGGTTTTCCTAACCGGACGGATCTGCTCTGCTCCCTACTTCTCCCTCAGGAACAAACACGCTGCCAAGTGCAGACCAACCACGCCAGCTCCTGCCCTGGCACCGCCGCTGGCTCCGACCTGCCGTAGGGCCAGCGCTGCTTTTCCCTCCGTGCCCAGGATGATTCCAGCCTGCTCACTGACAGCGAGTACTGGAGAACCACCTTACCCCTTCCAAAGGGAAGCTGGAGACGTCTGCAGCTACAACCCCATCTGTGAGCTTATGCTCCTGATGATTGAGTTTCATGAGTTTATGGGTTTCCATGAGAAATCCTGACCATACAGCGCTGCAGAAAATGGTATTTCAGTGACTCGGATGTGATTCAGCTTCTGGAAGGCCGCAGCGGTCTTGGTGGTGATCAGACTTTTGCAGTGTTTTGCAAACGAACCTGTGCTGCAGCGAGGCTGCTGCGCGCTCGGTTAGGAGAAGGATCTTCCCCAAGCTCCCCCCAGCAGGTCGCAGCTTGGTGGTGGCTCTGCACTTCCCATTCCGAATCCTCCCCTGCCCACGTCCGCTTGTCCAGTTTCCCCATGAGGCAGAACAGCTTCTTGGGCTTTCCCGCTCCGAGAAAAGGTGCCCGTGAGGATTTTGACACTGCAACCGCGGTGATTTCTGGATGCCCAGGCTGCGTCATGTTGGCTTTTGGGTTCTCTCCGTGCTGGGAGCTGGTGAGACTCAAGAAATAGGTGGTGGCTTGAAGGGACCCGGGGGTTTGTGGATGGGAGCAGGTGAAGGCGGCGGCTGGAGCTGCCTGCGTCGCTGCTGGGCACTCCGAGCAGAGCAGAGTCCAGGCCCCAGCACCAGCCGAGGCCCCAGGACGCTCTGCAGCGGCTGCTGCTGCTCCGTGCGGGATCTCCTTGGTCTGTGTCCGCGGTGCCGCTGGCGGGGGAGCCGCAGGCGGTCGCCTCTCCTCCCCGGTTTGCCTTTCTGTTCCTTTGTAAAGCTGGAGGAAGAATAGCAGGCTTTGGGTAAAGGCCTTCTTAGTGGCCTAGGTTTGTGCTCGTGGTCTTCTGGCAGTGGTACACAGTCTCATTGAACTAAAAAATACTTTCTTTTTTTACCTAAAATTCCCTCTTTTGGAACACTTTTTTTGGTTTTGTATTTTTTCTCAGATTTTTCTTTGTAAATATGTACACTTATCATTAATAAATGTTATTGCAAATCAGATTCTGCTGCTGCTGCTTATTAACACCTCCCAAAGCCTTCTAACAGTCTGGTGTCCCCGGGAGCAGGAGCGTTGCCGGTGACGCGTCCTGCCGTGCGCCGCCGGCGCCCGCAGTAACGCTGAGAGTTAATCGGAGGCCGTGCACGGAGACCTTCCTAACGCTCCTAACACGAACCCGCTGGATTTATGCCGGCTTTCCAGGAGATTTTTCGCTTTTCTCCAAGTCGTTTGCCCCCTCAGCTGCTGGGTGGCGCGGGGCGAAGCCGCCTGTGGCCGCGGCTGTCCCGGCCGCGCGCGGGGAGCCGGGATCGCTCCGAGACGGCAGCAGCTCCCGCTCCGCGGCCGCGCGAGCGCCGAGGCCCTGTGCACGGTGCCGCGGGCGGCCCTTCCCGTGGGAGGAATCCGGAGTTGGAAATAGCTTCGTGCTCTGCATCTGAAGGGACCCGGCAAGTTCTTAGCTTTTTATCTTCTCTCTTTAAGACAAAGAAGCCTGATAAGGGGTAGCCGTGGGGCTAGCTGTGGGGATCTGTTTTCTGCTTTCTAATACTTTCTGCTCAAGGGCTTTGACGGCGGAGATGGGAGCGCTCGCCGGGCGACCCGGGGAGCCCTTGCTGGTGAGTGAGCTCCAACGTGACCCCCTCGGGCTCCCGCCGGCCTGGGGCGCCCCGGGGATAACCTAATAACGGGCAGCGCCTCTGCGCCGAGCGGCAGCGCTAACGCAAGGGAATTGGAGAGGTCCTTATGTCCCTTGCGAGGCTGGAGACCCTCTTGGGCTGAGGGCTACTGCAAATTGCTGGGGGGAGAGGCAGCAGCCTGCCAGCGCTGCCTGCAAACGTGCCTTTATACAAAAACCCCCCAAAAAGGGAAAAATCCTGTCGCTATCTAACATCAGGTGCACAGTCCTGTTATTAATTTATCCCCCGTTTCACATTCGTGGCACTTCTGAGTCTCAAACCGCGCTGCATGCGCCGCGCGGGGCTCCCTGCGCCCTTCGTGCTGCCCAGCCCCGCGCGTCCCGCGGGAACAGCCCGGCGCTCCGCGGCGCCCGGGCCCGGGGCAGGAGCGCTTTGGCACTGGCAAATTAAAAAAAAGTCTTGATAAGATCAGAACTTGTGACAGACATCCAAATTCTTTATATATATGTATATATATTTGCATAAAAAGATGATCTCTTCTAGCCCAGATGCAGAGGAGGTTTTGAAATACAGGAAGAAGCAGTGTTGTAGTATTAAAAAAAATAGGTCCAGATAGATAATTATTACAAATAGATAATTATAGAGAGAAAGCAATAGTTCGTAATTAGTCTGACTTCTTAGAGGTGGAATACAGCAGCAGGACAAGAAGTGCCCCTGCTCCGTTGATCTTATCAGGATTTCAGGCTGTCTTTGCAGTTTGCATGTGCTGCCACACGCCGCTCTGCTGAGAGCTGGCACATGCCAGCATGGACCTTCCTTCAGCTCCTCTGCTCCTTTACGCTTTCAGCATGCAAGATGCTTCCAAAATGCTTTTTTGTTTTTCTGTATGCGAGAGGCAGCCGGGAGGTTATTTTTTACTGTACACAAATGTTTGTCTCCTAAATAGATCTCTGTTTGTGTAGCAGCTTAATCTGCTTTGTTTTATCTGTGGATTTCATTCTCCCTCTCGGGCAGGGCAATGCCACAGCTGGCACGTCAGGAAATCCCGCTCCCAAAGCACTTTCCATTAAAGTGCACAAGATACCCCGCTCCTTCCCCAAATCCCATGATTAATTTGCAAGCTTTGACATACATAATTAAGGAGGGCTCGGTGTATGGACCGCGTACCGCTCTGGATTTAAAGCTAGATTAAGACATGGGCACTGGGAGCTGATGGCCTCGGTACGTACTCGGTTTTGCGAAACGCTGCGGTCGAGCCTCTTGCTTTAGATATTTGCATGTTTTGCAGGAGCACACATGGAAGTGGTTTGCAGTTGGAATAACGTCTCCATTTGTCTGCGGTCCGACCCGATCCCGGGGCAAACTGCTGCCCCTTCGCTTGGGTTGCATGCATTTTCCTGAAGCAATATCCAGGGAATTTAGGAATAGGAATTTAGCTGGTGATGTGGCTGTGGCATCTCGAAGCCGGGAATTGGACACGACCTGGGAGGAGGATAGGAGGGTTTTGGGCTGGCGGCGTCCCCATGCTCCCCGACCTGGCTGAGGTCTCTTCTTCCTCAAGAGGGAAGTGCAGGTTCTTTCAGATGTCTCCTGTTTGGTGGCTCCTTTTAATATAGGAGCCTCTTGGTAATCGCATTGGTGGATTTTGATGCTGAGCTAGTGCACGTTCTCTCAGGAACTTCAGCTTTGCCATTGCCACCTTTTGCAGAGCTGGTTTTGGTACCTTTCCCGGAGCCTGCTGCAGGAAGCAAGGTCTGGAGACGGGCAACCCGGCTGCTGGGCCGTGGGCTCCCTGCGCCCGGCACGCGGGAGCTGGGGCCTCGTCCCCTTTGGAAAGCACCGGGCAGCCCGTTTGCAGGGGCCCCAAAGCACAAGCAGGCAGCCCTTGCGCGCGGTTTTGGCACCGGGTTTTGTTGCACGCTGCGTCCCGCATGTGCCCGCGCGTCCCCGCTCTCTGCGCTGCCATCCCTGCTGAGCTTCCGGAGCGGGCACCAGGGGCCGTTGGTCGTGGAAGCGGAGAGAGTCGTCACGTTGTTAACGCTGAGCCCCTCAGCACAGGGGTTGCGGACGTGGCGCCGAGGCGGCGCTCGCCGAACCACGGGACACGCTGCCCAGCACCAGGCTTCCGAGCTGGGATCACTGGCGCTGGGACGTGTCCTGCGGGACCAGCGTTGGTCTGTCTTGGTGCTTCATGACCTCCTGCTCTCCCTAACTCCTTTCTCTCTCTCTTTCTCTCTCTCTGGCCTTTTTTTTTGCATTCGTTTCTTTTTAGAGTATGAGTGACTTTCTCTCCAGAGAGGAGGTGCCGGAGAGGAGCAGTGTGGCCCCTGCCTTTGAACGGGAGGGCGCGAGGCGGGCGGGAGCTTTGGGTGACACCCAGATGTCACCTGCCCCCGAGCCTGCTCTGAGCGGACACTGCGGCGCATCCTCCGTGTGCAGCGAGGAGGAGGAGGAGGAGGAGGAGGAGGAGGAGGCGGCTGCTTCCAGCCTCCCTGGGAGCGCGGGGGAGCCGGGCCGGGAGCCGGTGGGTGACGCCGCTGCGGAAAAGCCGGCAGAGC